GGCGAGCTCGCTCCCTATCGTCCTTCTTGTTACCCGAAGTCCACATCCACGACAAAAGAAACCGCGCGTATACGCAACTACAACAGGTCAACCCTCCCAAAAACCTTAGATAGCTCCACGTCCCTACTAACGACGAGCATGATCTGGCGCGGCCCAATTCGCTTCTTATTGTTGTCAATTGCTGCATTGACGGCCAGTTCAAGAACCTGTCAGGAAATCAAAAGAGACGATCGAACTCATGTTACAAAAACAGGGGAATTCCGATCGAAAGTGGAGGGAAGAAAACAAACCTCTGTGGTAAGGTATTCGAGAACGGCGGCGAGGTAAACGGGGGCTGCATAGCCGATGCGGTCGGCGTAATTGCCGTCCTTGAGTAATTTGGCGATCAGATCGACGGGGAATGTGAGGCCGGCTTTGCCGCTCCGTGGCGACCTACGCTTTTTGGAAGATGAGGCGGATTTCTGTCTCGTCATTTCGCAGAATCTCGAGCCGAGAGAGAGAGAGAGAGAGAGCGATTGGGAGAAAGGGAGGGAGGAGTAGCTCCGGAGAAGGAGAGGCGACGTATCAGTAAAGGAAGTTGGGGATGCGGATGAGATGGCGGCGGCCATTTCGAAAAAAAAAATACTCGGTCAGGTGTTCTGTCATTTATAAAGGGTGTTTTGGGAAATTTTTTATAAAAAAAAATTATTTTTATTTTTTACTTGCAGATAGGCTGTCAAATAAAGTTAACAGCTTGTTGGGCTCGTTGATTAGCTTGTGTTTTCGGCAATTCTTTTAGTAAACGAGTCCAACACGAACAAGTTTGTAAAGCTCGAATTATAAACGAGCCGAACAAGAACAACTCTTTGTTCGCTAATGTTCGGCTCGTTTTAACTTAAAATAAAAAAATATATATAATTATTTATATAATAATATATTACATATACTATTTATAATAAATAGCATATATCTATTTTTAAATCTTAACAGCTCGAGTGATAATGTAGTATGTGCCTTTTTTGTATATATTTGGTGCATGTTGGAATCCTTTACTTTACATTTATTTTATTCAATTTAATTTTAACGAGTCGATTTCGAGTCGAACACGAACACAAATATTTAAATCGAGCCGAACACGAACACACTGTTCAAGAGCCGATTTCGAACATGAGTCGATTTTCAACAAAACACGAGTCGTTTCGAACGAGCCAAGCCTCAACTCGCTCAAGCTCGGCTTGTTACAACCCTACTTGCAGAAGGTCTAGCAATTCAAAGCCAAGCTTAATCAATTTTTAGGATACTCTCATATGAATTTTTTTTCTAGTTTCTCGTTCCCTTTGAAGAATTTAAGAGTTGATAACTAATAAAAATTACATGCATATCACACAATTCTTATATATTTACATATCTAACATTTAAAATTTGATATTTAAATTTATGCATAAAATCATGTATTTCACTTAAGAAAATAGTAATAGTAATATTTCTTGTGTGATGTTAAATAGTTTAGGGTTATTCAAGTAAATTTCAAATTTTCGGTGTTTAATATCGAAATATATGAATTGGGTGGTATGTATGTAAATGCGGCCAATAAAAATCTCTTAGAATTAATTTATTATGGTTAGTTAAGGTGTGAAATGAATAGTTGTAATAGTCTAGTTGGACGCTTCTAAAGTATGGGTACTTTAAAAATATATAATAATAATAATAATAATAATGAATGTATTTTAATATCAAATGTATTGAAATAATTTTTTTTTAATATTTAGGGGTATATAAAATAAATGTTGAAAACTTAGTGGATTCATGAATCAAATATATTTGATTCATGAAACATTGGATCTTCCATGTCAAATCATCAATAGAACCAGAATTAAAGTGTGGAAGCATAACTTGATTCATGATTACTTGTAGTTGTGGGTTGTTGTCTTCTGAGTTGATATATGTTCCTTAAATCTTTTCTGTCAATGAAATTCCGGACAAGTGGAGCTCTCTATCTTTCTTTTGAAAAAGTAGAGACACACACATGTAATGAGAGATATAACCACTTTAAAATAAGTTTATCAACATTAGTTTATTAAATCACATTAATTAGGCTTAACTTCAAAATAGAATAAATAATACATTTTTTTACATATATTGGCTCACATAAAAATTATTTAACTTTTTTTTTCTAAAAAACTCCCACTAGGCCTCATATGCTACCTCATAAATATGTTAACTTTTGTGCACTCAAACTTTACCTCGTGTAGAAGAGTATTCCTTAATAGTCTCTTCAATTAATTATATCAATATAGGATCAAAGCAACATTCATCACAAGCACAATGTGACTAGTCCCATCAATGATCATGTATATCAATACAACCGAATGACATAAATCAAATATGGATGTGTAGCATGAAAATTACATGCAATGTAATCTATCTATACATGCCTAATTCCAGCACATCAAAACGAAAACTTTAATGAGATAAAAAATTGAATCAAAATCAAATTAAAAACTAAATTATTTTTTTTATTTTGTAGAAAATACACAATGTCTATATATTTAAAAAAATATATATTTTCCAAATAGAAACTCCACCAGAACTATATATTAGCAAGTAACTGAACACTCATATGAGTAGTATGCTCATGAAAAACCTTGGGTGGACTTCTTTGTGAGCAGATTAACTTTAGTTTATGACAATGTGTGTTATAGACATTTGACCACTTTGAACCTTTTCTTTAACAAGGTACTTGATCTCTATGTGCTTTGATTTACAAAACTTTTGTTGTTATTAGAATACATGACTATAGACATTGCAGGAAAATATCTTATAATTGCAAGCATAACCAAAGGCTTTGTGTGTGTCACAAACGTCACGAAAATTTCCCATGACTTAGCAATAGATAATTAATACAATGAATTTCCGATAATATTATTATTGTAAAACCCGTCGTTTTTGCATAGAAAATATTTCGACAAATAATTTATACTTAAAGACATTGTACATCATTTATTATTTTCTAAACAATATTTGATGAACTTTAGTCGTCCATAATTAAAAGAATCGTTTTTTTCTGAAAGATGAACTGACGAGTGTCTTTTGATAACCAACAGTTTTGAACGTCAGCTCTGATGTTACAATATACCCACAACATTAATTTCATTACTAAGGGTCCGTTTGGGGCAGCTTGTGCGTTTCAGGATAAGCTGCTTATCCTGAAATGCGGCCCGCGGGCCGGCCGCAGGGGTCAGCCCGCGGCCTGCGTTTGCGGTCGGCCCGCGGCCTGGCGCGACCCAAACGGTATGGCGGCGTTTTGAAAACGCCGCCCGCACTTATAAGCTGCCCCAAACGGACCCTAAACCATCGAAAAGCAACCATATTACATATTTGGCACCGAAACCCCTCATTTCTGCTTTTCTCCCACACGTTTTCATCTCTTTCCCGGTTTTGCCCTAAATCCCGACACCCTGCTCTCAACCCTCTTCAATAGGGCAACCTTTGTGAAACAATGACCATCACAGCTAGCTGGTAGGATAACGAGGGGATTGCGACTTACAGAGACCATCGAAACTCTCATCTTTCTCATCATTCTGCTCCACTCTTACCAAATACATTTGAGCAAGGTATGCTTGTTGTGTCATTCTTTCTCTTCATGCGGCATGGACTTCTCTCACTCCTCTCCCGTTTTCATTCTAAAAACCCTTTCTTTGCAATATTGTCACCGTTCGAGCAAGCTGGGAAGACAAAGATGAGATTGCAGCTTATAGAAACCACCAAAACACTCATCTTTCTCATAATTCAACCCGGCTTCTACCTGTTACCAGTGAGGAAGATAAGATTGGTCGCACCATTCCTTCTCTTCATCGAAACCAGTGAGGAAGCTAAGCTAGCTCTCATCATTCCTCTTTAATTCACTTGTTTTGGCACGAGATGTGTATAGATATAAGAATTGTGTACTATGTATATAAACTTCTTCTAATTATTTAGGTAACATGACCAAGCGTTTTAGATTTATTTATATCTTTCTTAAAATAAGTCGAATCTAAAATATCTACTCTCCTAACGAAATCACCAACCCTTTCAGAGATATATATATTTTGCATTTAGTCTCCAAGTGTAAAGGATTCAGGGTGTAGAGTAAACCCATAGGGAAATCCAAAAATGTAATTAGAATGATATTGCTGTTGGATTTTACTTATTTTGGTGAATTGAATAAATCTAGATTTCATAAATTTCGGCATTAAAGAGCTGTCTCACAACATATGAAATTTAAATTACTATAATTTACCCATTCTTGTAGATCAACGCTCTCCTCGAATATCATAGCATTGATATCCTTTGTGATGTTGGTTGTATTCTAAGAAAACACATAGGAGAGCCTTATAAGAGAATTTATATATCATGGATGATAAATTCCAAGGAAAATAGACGCAACCAAAGTTTTTCAAGGCTTGATATCCAGGAATGTCGTGTATCAGCTAAAAGGGTGTGTTATTCTTGTTGATATTCAACCAAAGATTTTCAAGGGTTGATATTCATTGATATCCTTTGATGTGAGAGGGTGGATTTGGTGTGCTATTCTTGTTGTAGGTTCGTGTATTGACAGAAATTATTGGTTTGAAAGAGTTTTTGTTTTTGAATGTGAGCAGTGTTGTAGTGTTCAAGGGCCATAGGTAGAGATGTGCATATAGCTTTTTTAAAGCAAAGATAGGAAGGCAGGAGGCATTTGAGAGTATATAAGATAATGTCTTCATTATCAAGTTTTGATAGGAAGGTCAACCCTGATGTCAACAGTGATGTTGAGGTGGAGGACATAAGGTAATATGGAGGGGGAGATACCAGAGAGAAAAGCTGCAGTTCAATTTTGACCTGAGCTTCCATAGATGGTAGTTTCAGTTTTCAACGTCATTACATATAGATTCTTGCTGGAATTGCGATAAAGGAGGGATATTGTGATCAAGAAATGTGTGAAGCCATTGACAAGAAATAATTTTTTGTATTTGCACTTTCCAGACATCATAGTTGTGGCAAACCAGAAACAGGAAAGTAATTTCTTCATTATATTAATTCTTACACTTAACAGCGTTTCATTACAACAGTACATATTAAGCCATTGTAATGGCAAACTTGTTGCAAGCAAAAAGGATAAAAATGGTGAATCCCATAAATGTCTATTGATACATATAGAATATATTAGCTACTAAATGAGGACGAGAGAAGTTATGGAGAACTGGAGCCTTGGAGGGCAGGAGATCTGACAACTTCAGCAGGCAAAACCAGAAATGTTCTAATAGCTCGTCAGACAAATAAGCTCAGCTCTCGCTGGCATTCTTGGAATCCACCGAAGCGGTCCTCTTCGGAAGAAGTGCGTTGTGAATATTTGGCGTCACTCCACTATTGGCAATGGTGGCGTTGCCAAGAAGCCTCGTGAGTTCCTCGTCATTCCTTACGGCGAGATGAATGTGGCGCGGCACGATCCGTGTCTTCTTGTTGTCTCTCGCCGCATTTCCAGCAAGCTCAAGAACCTACAAAGAAGATAAGAAAGACAAAAAGAGATGCCTAAAATTATACATATTGAAGCTTAAAAGAAAGCGATTCGTCTGAGAACTGTGTTACCTCTGCGGAGAGGTACTCGAGGACGGCGGCGAGATAAACCGGAGCACCAGCTCCAACGCGCTGTGCGTACCGACCGGTTTTAAGAAATCGAGAGATCCGACCGACGGGAAACTGTAGGCCGGCCTTGCTGCTCCTCGAAGACGACTTCTTGGAGTGTGCCAAGCCAATAGCTTTCCCCCTTCCCGCCATTGCTAGCAAAATCTGGAGCCGAAGAAGAGTAATTGAGAGGAGAGCTCAGGTTGGGGGAAGAGGAGATGCGAATGGGAAAGAAACCCGATCGACTTGGGCTTTATACTTTGGCGTCCCTTGGATTGCATAGTATTTAGACCAATCAATACAAAGCGCACGGATTGCAGTTTTACACCGTTCGATTTTGGGGCATTGACGGTCGGATAGGCTTCGCTTCTTGTAATAAATTTTGTTTGAAACGGGCGCTGGGTTATATTTGAATTTCTTAAAAAGAAATTTACCAAATTAGTGTGAAGTAGGGTGAGAGGTTTTGTATCTATTAATGACTGATGAGAATATCATTATAAATTAAAATTATTTATCTTATAATAAAAACAAAACTACAAATAAATAAATTAAAAAAGCAATAGATCCGGGCTTATAGGATTTGACCCAATTAAAGCATCAAAATTTTCACATGAAAAACTCAAATAGAAATAATAAAAATTATATTTGATCCTATTGAAATTATTTCACTAATATGTATTGATGTTGCCATGCATGGAGAGAAAAATTTGTGCATGTAAGTACGTAGAGTTCCGTACGTCATGTAGGTTATAAGGAGGGCATTGTGGCTTGAGATCAATAAATTTCAAAGAGGACAAACAACTGTTTCAAAAATTCTCTCAAATTTTTTCATGGAAGCTTGAGATCAATATTGGCAAATATTACTGAAGTATTTATGCGAGTAAAGCATTCAATTGTAGTGAATTCAAGTTAATTTTAAAAAAGGAAATTAATATCTTAAACTTTATTTCATCTAATACTTGTTAAGGTACAAAAGTTAATTTTATGTTCTTATGTGTTTTTAATTTTGTTGAATCCAAATTTATCTAGAAGGCACGTCTTAGGAATAGAGCATTGTGGGACGAGAGAGAGAGAGAGAAGAGAGCGATAGCATAGTAATGAACATTAAATTTGCACAATCTTTATTCATGAAATAAACCTCTTATTATAGTAATTGATAATTTCACAATTACACAATGTACCCTTAATGTGCATAGGTACGACCTGGGTATTTCAAACTACATATAAATATGGCAAGTGGGGCCCATGGATATGGCTCGACGACTATTAAGTCAGGTGATTTCTTGCTGAGGATTCACATTGGGTGCTTTGGAGCTGGAGGAGACGTTTCACCTCCTTGGTCTTGTTATGCTAGAGCCCGGTTCGGACCGCCTCCCACTCCCGCTCTT